GGAATCTTTAAGAAATATAAGACTATGATAGAAAATGAAACAGACTTGAAGTTGAAGTGTCTCAGATCAGATAATGGAGACAAGTATCACGATCAGAAGTTCAAGAATTTATGTGCTAGAGAGGGGGTCTAGCATGAGTTCACTGTCCCAAAGACACAGCAGCAGAATGGTGTAACTGAGCACATTAATAGAACAATCACGGAGCATACCAAGAGCATGAGGTTGCATGCAGGCTTGCTATAACAGTTTTGGGTTGAAGCAGTAAATACTGCAGTTTATCTAATCAGTTGTAGTCCATCCGTACCTTTGGAGGAAGACTTAATGAAAAAGTATGGAGTGACAAAAAAACATGTCTATCTCGTTTAAGAGTATTTGGGTGTTCTGCATATGAGAATGTTGATACCGGGTCCAAAAGCAAGCTCGACTCAAAATCTGTCAAGTGCACCTTCATTGGATATGACACAGATGAATTTAGGTACAAATTTTGAGTTTGTAAGATTCAGAAATTCATCAAAAGAAGGGATGTCACTTTCAATAAGATGGGGATGTATAAGGATAAGGTCAGAACTTAGGACAGTGTGTGAGCTACTTCTGAAGAATCCAGATATGTTGAGATAGAAGATATTGATGATCAACAAGCTGGAGAAATAAAAAGTTCTCAATCAGGAGCACTAGAAGTTCCTCAAGTCTCCTGCTACAAAAATTAGAATATCCAGTAGAGTGATACAACCCGTACACAGGCATTGTCTTTCTTTACACTATTTATTATTAACTGATAGTGGTGAACCAGAATGCTTTGAGGACGCTCAAATTGAAGATTCAAAGAATTGGGAGTTTTCCATAAATGAAGAAATGCAACCTTTGGAGTCAAATCAGACTTGGGATTTTATAGTACTACCACATGACAAAAGAGCACAACACAACGAGTATACAGGCTTAAAAAGAGTCAGATGGTAGCAATTGTTACAAAGAAAGACTTGTTGTAAAGGGTTTCCAGCAGAATGAAGGAAAGGATTACACATAAATCTTCTCCTTAGTGGGGAAGGTGAAGATGACGGTTGTCAGGGTTGCGTCAATTTTGGTAGCAGAAGAACTACACCTGGAGCAGATAGATATAAAAATAGCTTTCTTACATGGAGATCTCAAGGATGAGCAATACATGGTGCAACCACAAAGTTACAAAGTTTCAGACAAAGAAGGTTTAGTTTGCAGATTGGAGAAAAGACTTTGTCTTGAAGCGGGCCCCAAGTCAGTGGCACGGAAGGTTTGACAGGTTTATTTTAGACAATGAGTACATGAAGTGTCAGGCATACCACTGTTGCTTCATCAAACACTTTGGTAACAATTATATTTTGTCTCCTTTGTATGTGAATAAAATGCTCATTGCAGAGGCATATATGAAGAAAATCAGGGACTTGAAGACGCACTTATCAATTGAGTTCGAGATGAAAAATATAGGTCCAACCAGAAAGATCCTCGGGAAGAGAACCATAAGGGACAGGAGTGCGGAAACATTGAAGTTGTCTCGGGCAGAGTGTGTTGAGAAAATCCTACAGAGGTTCAATATGAGTGAGACGAACCAGTTAGCACTCCTTGGGTAGCCACTTCACACTATCTAAGGAGTCATCGCCTAACTCTAAAGCAGAGCAAGCACGAATGAAAAGAATTTATATGCTTCAGTAGTTGGAAATTTGATGTCATAATTTGTACAAAACAAAATATTGCATATGTAGTGTGAGTGATCAGCAAGTACATGGACAATCCATGTAGGCATCATTGGGAGATGCTAAAGTGGATTTTCAGGTATTTAAGGGGAGCAGTCAACACAGCACTTTGTTTTGGAAGTGCAGAGATCAGTCTACAGGGATTTGTAGATTCAAATCTAGCAAGTGATGTGGAAAGTAGAAAAAGAGCAATGGGTATGTCTTTACATTAGGGAACGCAATCGTGAGTTGAGTTTCCAGGTTGCAAAAAATCATTAACACTTTCAACTACGGATGTCGAATATGTTATTATTGATTCTAGCAAGGAGATTATTAGGCTACATAGTTTCTTGACAGAATTGGACAATGAGCAAGAGATTGGAAAACTCTACAGTGACAGTATGAGTGTGATTCATATTGCTAAGAATGTTGTTTTACATGCTAGGACGAAACATGTATATTTCAAGTATCATTTCATTTGATCTCTTCTATAAAATGGACAGTTATTTCTGAAAAATACACACACAGCTGAGAATCCTGTCGATATGTGACAAATGTGGTGGTTGTTGAGAAACTGAAGCTCTGATTGGGTTACATGATAGTTGAAACCAAGACAGAGTCACACCACGATACATGACCACAGTACGTGACTATGAAATTGATTCAGATGGAGGGTACAAAGGACTTGTGTTGGGTGCAATCAGTCTCCACGTGGAGGATTATTATGTTATGGGGACAGATTTGAAGAGTTATGCACCTGGCTCATATGCGACAAGTTGTGTGCACCTATGCGCCCACTTGAGCATTGTTCGACCAACAGAAAGGTTGGCATATACCAGAGGGGTTGGCGCATATGTGCCCACTTAAAAGTGGGCACTGCTATGATACAGAGAGAATGACACATAAAATTTTGCGCATATGCGCGCAACACCAAACGTCAATACAACAAGCATGACGCTTAGGAGCCAAGTCCAGGTGCATATGCGCCCAAAGCAATTTTTGCACGAGTTAATTGGTTTATGAGCCAATTCCGAGTGACGTAAGAGCAAAATGTGGGATTTCCTCCTGAAGTTCTTCAACAAGCATCTCGGTGAAGGTGAGAAGGGCCGAAGTGGTGAATTTTTAAAATTCGACGTGATTCTTGCATCAGATTGGAGAAGGAAATTTGTAGAGTGTTTCCTGTAAATTTCCTTGTGCAGAGAGAAAACTTTTGTGAGTTCTTTGTAAAACTTTATGAATTTCATAGTGAAATTTTCTGGTCCGTGGTTTTTTTCCGTTCTCGAATTTTTCCACGTAAAATTCTTGTATTCATCTCTAGTTGCTTTGATTGTGTTTTTTATTTAGTTCTTTGTTCTGATATTCTCAAATTGGTGTGATCATGTTATTCCGCGGTGTGCTCAATTTACTCCTATCAAAACCTTCATCCCGAAAAAGATATACTAAGATTTTAGTGTTCTAACAAATCAAAATAAAACTAATGAATTTCCTTAACCTAACCATTGGAAGAAAAACCTTCACAACCTCCTATATACCACACAATTCTTTTGTATTTACATATCTAACACCTAAAAATTCATATTTACATTTATTACACTTCAGTGTCATAAACACAAGAATAAAAACATGTATTTCACTTTAAGAAGTACGTAATAGTGGTATTTTTAATGTGATATTAAATATTTGGATGCTATGCATGAAAATATAGAAGTTTAGGTGTTAGATATGTAAATACATAAGAATTTCGGGTATCTAGTTAAATTCCCCCTATGGATAAATGCATGTAAAGCAAATGCATTTGATTGTCAATATTTTTTTATGCTCCTTCCAATGGATTAGAAACCTATTTCAAATGAAACAGTAGTATATGACTGCATCGTGGTCTTTTAATACTTGAAATTTTATTGTTGACTCAACTCAGCAACAGATGGTTGAAACCTTAATCAATAGACACCCAAAGGCCAACGAACTACACATTTTAGCAATAAAGTACTGCATTGTACAGTTTGGATGCAGTTTTTCTGCACAAAAATACTTAAAACAATTGGTGAAATGCTCCTTTACATACATACCACCCAATTTGTCAGTTAAATATGTGTAACACCTAAACTTTACTTTTTACATTTATACCACCCAAATCTTTCATTTTACATAAAAAATACCACTATTTTAACATTTAAAAGGTGAAATGGTCCTTTACATGCATAGTTAAAGTGGTCCTTTACCTGCATAGGTAAGGTGCTCCTTTACATGCATAGGTAAGGTGGTATGTATGTAAAACATAAGGTTAAATGTTAGATATGTAAATACATAAGAATTGAGTGGTATGTATGAATATCTTCTAAAATAATTTAGATCACAATTTTGAACTTCAAATGCATCCAACTGAGCCAATTGCAGTCAAACAGCTGGCATTTTCCCTCGATGAAAATTATATGATGGTATCATTCTGTTAAAAACTACACACATTTGCTGCACCTATATGCATGCATTTGAACCTTTTTGAGAATCTTTTTTTTTCGGTTGTTATTTAATTATTTAAATAATGCATAATTGTCAATTCATATTTATTGGGGGTACTTCTGAATAACTTTTTATTAAGGTTTCCTTGGCTACTGTTTTCCTTTATTCTTATTTGCAAGGCAGAAAAAAATTAATTTTTATTTGATCAGGCTATTTTTCAATTAGTCCTGTGTTCAGCATGGATATAAAAATATTTTTATTGAAATATCCTTCAGTTGTTTTACAGAAGAATGACTTTGGTTAGATAGATGTCATTTTATAACTTGCTTTCTCTTCGAGAACACAAGATTTTAGCTTAATGAAGGTGTGCTTCACCAAACAAATTAAATTGATACTTTCAAACTCCCAGTAACTATTTACACATCCTTCGCATTGTCATTTTACTTATGCTTTACTTTCAATGTCTATTTAACAATTTGTGTGAGAGGACATGCTCCTAATAATCTTAATTTAAAGCTCATTACTATTTTATTTATTTCTTTCACATACTTATATTGATTTATTTTATATTATACGTTATTAAAATTGAATATTGCTTGAATAAGTGAGCAAACTTCTTAAAATTAATGATCATTCATCGGGATTTACCTGATATACCATGATAAGCATAGCATCTAATATCTCCCATACACGTTGAATGTTCATAACATGTAACAACTTTGCCTTCAATAAAATTATTTCTCTAAGGAAAATCATTTTTTTCCAAGTGAAACAGAAAAAAAAACATACCAATTTCAAAAAGGAATAAGAGAACAACGATGTAGAATGCAAAATTACCTAGGATTAGGATTCCCTTTCACTACTTTTTGTCCATATTTGCGCCAGCGATACCCGTCGTCCAAGATATCAACTTCGCTCACTGTTTGAACAACAACTCGAGGTTCACGATTATTCTTCGCAATTGAATTAGCATCGATGGTAGCAACTTCCAATTTCCTGCTTAACAATTTTCCAAAAGTAACGCTTTGGTGCAAATGTAACACTGAACCTTTAACATACAAATCAGTAAATTTCTATAATAACTAATAACCTGCGCTTCAATTCTGGATCATCTTCAGCAGCAGCCTCATCACCACCAAGTCCGGACTGTCCGCCTTCAACTTCGACTTCATCATCACTTACTGATACAGGAGAAAGCTCAGAGTTGCAATTGGGATTAAAATGAGAACCATGGCCATGGGCATTTGAAAACATCTCTGCAGGTGATGGATTCATGAAACAGTGATCCAAATTTTCAATAAAGAGGCGCATTTGCATACATAGCACACAGTTCTTATGTATTTACAAATCAAACACCTAATCATTCATATTTACATAACATACCACTCAAATCTTTAACGTCGCATCAAAAATATCACCAATACTACCTTTTTAAAAGTGAAATATACCTTTTCATCCATAGATTTATGATACCAATGTGTTATAAATGTAAATATTATAAACTTTAGGTGTTATGTAAATATAAAAGAATTAAGTGGAATGTAAGTACATTTTAATTTTAATAAATAAGCCACATATAATTACAAGGGAAAATGAAAGAAGACAAAATTCATACAACCTTCAGCATTTGCTAAAGAAGAAAACACATCCTTTTCCTCCTCCTGACCGTTGAAAACTCCACCAACTGCTAATCTGCGACTAGCCTGTGGCTTAGGATGGTCGTGCCGACCTTTGTAGATAATATCTGTGATCTGTCCATCATGAGAGCGTTCCAACTGTTTCTTCATTTGGCAATTTGGATGAGTGCATTTGTAATAACTCCGAGGAAATTCACTTCCTTTCACGTGTTTCTGTCCATATTTTCGCCAATTATAACCATCTTCTATTGATTTATCAACAGAATTCAAGGGAGCAGCACCATTATGATCAGACTGTAATGCTTGAATCCTGCAATCTGAATCATTTGTCTGCTGTAACTCATTGGAAGCATCTTCAGGAAAAGCATTAGCTTCTGTTACTGACCAAGTGGATTCCGCTGAAGATTGAGTTATATTCTCAGTTTTAACTAGTTGGGAACATGTTGACCCATTAGTTTCACATAAACTTTGGTTTTTCCCTGCAAATTCTTGCAGCTTTGAATTTGAACCTAGAGAAACCTGCAAAAATTCGACAGGTAAAAAAATGACATTAATAATATATTAAAATAAATATGAATTATGCCTCATACTTGAATTATATACTTATATTTCTTGCTTCATATTTTGGAATAACCATACAGAGGCTTCTGAAAAGTAAAGAGGGCTGACACAACAATTACGATAAAAAAAAAATAGATAGAAATATTATGTGTGCCCCCATCCTCCGCCCTAACGTTATGGTTCTACCACTGCCACAAAGTTTAGTGGACAAAAAATACTTTCATAAGAACAACAATTAAAAAGTACAATAATTTTCCCACTTGAAAAAATTTTATACATGTATGCCAGTGGGCTAACAAATATAAAGGGCCTAATCATATTATGCAACAGAAAAAAATTTAAAACTCTCATTAGTGGAAGTAGAAAGTAGATACCATGTATTCTGAAAAAAAAAATGAAAAATAAATTATTTTAAAAGGCGTTCTAATGTGAAATAAAGAGAAAACCCTTAATTCTCATTTAAGTGTGCCATGTCAGAATATGAACTGTAATATTATTTTCTTTTTCAGCGCAAACTTTACCTTAGATTTCCACTAAGAAATGATCTCATATGCTTGAACTGATGTAAGAATGGTAGAAGATCACCTTCTAAGTAGTTTCCAGTACACTACTAGTGTAAAACGATAAATACTAATTTAATGATTTTCTTGAAGATAATACAAATGCGGTTGATAGGAATTACCGAAGGTGCCAGAGAGGATAATCCAGGACGTGAAGACAACCTAATATGTGGCCGGAACTCAAAAAATGGAGAGCTGCCATCTTCATGAACACAACCTTTAGAAGAATCCTTTGGAGAACCCAAAGCAGCCAAACCACCATTATTCACAAATAAGGGCATGGCAAACGATCCCGTTGTAGGTGAGGGTTCTGCCTGCATTAATGTTGAACAAATTAATATGAGAGAACACTCAGACACATTTGTTTATCCCAAAAGCACGATGGAAGCGGCGTTCGTAAGCAAGAAAATGACAAGAAACTCCTAATAAGAAAATGATGACAGTTATATAACACCACCAACATAAGTGTTAGCCTTATCCCAAATATTGGGAGTCAGATTTAATAATCTCCCTCCTTAATTCATTCATATTACGTGTTGAATAAGATGTTAACTCTATCTTGTGAAGGTCATTCTGCTGAAATTATTAACAATGTCACAGTTTCTTTAGCTTCTCTCTAATCATTTCAATTTAACTTTATAAACTTGTTTTACTGTTGAAAAAGACAACATAGAGAGATAAGAGTTGTAGGAACAACAAAGAGAAAAAAGACACTTAATTTTTACTCCAATGAGCAAGTAAAATGTAGTATTTATATAGAGGCCGATCAAATGTCGGGAAAACAAAAGGAAAAAATTAGCAAGCACATGATATTTTATTCTTCTTCTACAAAGCATGTTGGGGGTGTCTTTCCTGGATTGAACAAAGCAAATATAGAAAAGAACTTGACAGGAATCCCAAGAACAATTTCCAACTTTACCGGGGCTTATGATCAATTAGATACTAAAACTCACCGCGAAACAACAGGATCGCATAAGATTCAAGAAAATCGGAACAGAAAATTATGAACAGAAGCACAATCAAAGAAATCAAAAAAACACACGAGAATTTTATATTGAAAAACCCAAGAGCAGAAAAAACCATGGAGTCACACAGCAAGAAATTTTACGATGAAATTTAGAAATTTTTTAAAAAGAACTCTTACCAGTTTCCTTTCTACAAATAAGGAAACTTCAGAACACGCTCTACAATCTTTCTTCTCCAATCTGACACAAGAATCACATTGAATTACAGAATCCACGTCTTCGACCCTTCTCATCTTCACCGGGTGCTTGTCGAAGAACTTCATAGGGAAAAACCACTTCACACACTTATATCGTTTGAAATTGGCTTAAGAACCAATTAATTCATGTACAAACAACTCTGAGCGCTTGACGCCTTTGCGACAAAGTCTCTAGGCGTTTATGCGCCAACATCTCTAGAATCAAACAGTACCCACATATAAGTGGGTGCATATGCGCCCATATGCATTGGCTCCTCTGTGAAGAAAAGCCCAAATATGTGCTTGAGAGCCCATAAGTGAGCGCATATGCACCCACAACCCGGCGCATATGCGCCTGGTGCTCTGTATGTACTTTGGCTCTACATAAAACCCAACAATCTCCCACTTGGAGACGATAAAACCAAGCAATAGTCCTCTGTACCTATACCTCCATCAAAATCACATTCATAGTTACGTACTGTGGTGCAGCTCACCCCCGATCTCAACCTTCATGAAACACAACCAAAGCCAAACATAGCTTCAATTTATCAATAGTCGCAACCTTCCTCAACATATCTGTAGGATTCTGAGCTGTGCATATCTTCTCCAGGAACAACTACTCATCTTTAAGCAAAGAGCGAATGTGTTTCATTATGATATGAAAAACAGCATTTCTAGCAAAATGAATCACACTCATACTGTCACTGTAGAGTTTTCAAATCCGCTGCACTATGTCAAATTCTGTCATGAAACTCCGTAATCAAATCATCTCCTTGCTAGCCACAATAATAGAAATATATTTGGTCTCCGTAGTTGAAAGTGCAACGATCTTCTGCAACTTGGAATCAACAAATCTCCTGCCACATCTGAATCTATAAATCTCTGTTGACTAATCCCTGCACTTTCATAACAAAGTGCCCAGTTGATTATTCTCCTTAATTACCCGAGAATTCACTTTTCCGCCTCTCAATGCCTTTTTGTATTGTCCATGTACCTGCTAACCACTCTCAATGCATATACAATATCTGACCTTGTAAAAATCATTGCATGTATCAAACTTCCAACTGCTAAAGCATACGGAGTTCTCTCCATTTGCGTTTACTCTGCTTCAGAGTTAGGCGATAGCTCCTTAGAAAGTTTGAAGTGACTATCTAATGAAAAGCTAATTGATTTTGCCTCATGTTGAACCTCTGTAGGATCATCTCAGCATATTATGTCTGAGACAACTTCAGTGTTCCTGCACTTATGTCACTGCTGATTCTCATCCCGAAGATCTTTCTAATTCGACCTAAATCCTTCATCTCGAACTCACTTGATAATTGTTTCTTCAAGTTCTTGATTTTCTCTATATCTGCCCCTGCAATCAGCTTGTCATTCACATAAAAAAAAATAAAATATAACAATTACTAGAGTGTTTGATGAAGCAAAAATAGTTTGTTTGCCACTTCAAGTACTCATTATCTAACATAAACCTGTTGAACTTCTTGTACCAGTGTCTAGGGCCCTACTTCAAGTCATAGATACTCTTCTTCAATCTGTAGATCAAACCTTCTTTGTCTGGAAAATTTTAACCTTGTGGTTGCACCATGTATAGCTCATCTTCCAGATCTCCATGTAGAAAGCTATTTTTACATCCATGTACTAAAGGTGTAGATCTTCTGCCACGAGACTGAACACAACTCTGACAATCGCCATCTTCACCACTGAGAAAATTTCTGAGTAATACACTCCTTGTAGTGCTTGGTACCATATGACTCCTCTTTCAGCCTATAGATCCACTTATTGTATAGTATTATTTCGTCATTTGGTAATGTCGTCAAATCTCAAGTCTGATTTGACTCCAAAGATTGTATTTATTTATCCATGTCAAGCACTCTCTTCCTTGAATCTTCAACTTGAGTGGTCTTCTCAAAGCACTCTGATTCACCACTATCAGTTAGTAACAAAAAACATAAAGGAGAATCCTTGTGTACAGATCGTATCACTGCTATATCTTCTGACTTTTGTAGCAGGTGGAATTTCCAATGCTCTTGGTTGAGGACTTCTTGTTTCTCCACCTTCATCACCAGTACCTTCTATCTCAACATATTTGGATTCTTCAAAAGTAGTCGATGGGCTTTCCTAAGTTCTAACCCTGTCCTTGTACATCTTCATTTCATTGAAAGTGACGTCTCTACTTCTGATGAATTTCTGATTATGATAATGCCAGAACTAGTACCCAAATTTATCAGTCATATCAAATGAAAGTGCACTTTACAGATTTCGAGTCAAGCTTGTTCTTGGGCATTAATATGCACATATGCAGAAAAAATCAAATACTCTTGAATGAGATAGACATACATTTTTGTCACCCCAAACTTTTTCAGATAAGACTTCCTTCAAAGGTACTGATGAATTACGATTAATCAGACAAATTGCAGTACTTACTGCTTCAGCCTAAAACCGTTTTGGTAAACTGCATGCTCCTAGCACGCTCTGTTATTGTTTGGTTCATGCGCTCAGCCGCACCATTCTAACGCGGTGTCATTAGGACAGTGAACTCATGTCTGACTCCATCTGTACCACAGAAATTTCTGAACTTTTAATCACGGTACTCGCCTCCATTATCTGATCTGAGACACTTCAACTTCAAATTTATATCATTTTCTACCATAATCTTCCGTTTCTTAAAGACTTCAAATATATCAGATATTTGCTTTACGAAATAAACTCATACATTTCTCGTGAGATCATCAACAAAAGAGATAATAGACCAAACCATCCAATGGACTAAACTAGAGTAGGACCTCATACATCAGTATGCACTAACTCCAGTTTATTTGATTTCACTACTGTCTAACTCTTGGAGAAAGAAACATTTTACTTGTCATATATATATAGTCTTCACAAAAATTCAGATCAACTGATTTCAAATCTTAAAGCTTATTCTTTGAAAGCAGGAACTTCATACCTTTTCTCGCTCATATGGTCAAGTCTACGGTGCCACAGAAATGTATCCAACCTGGTTCCAGTCACATCAATAAAATCAGTCATTTCATTGATCAGATAGTCATCAATGTTGCCTCGAGCCATCACTAATACCCCTGATCACCCTCCACGAATCATTTGAGAAAGTTGATATGAGTCCTGACTTTCCCAACTGGTTCATAGAGATGAGATTTCTCTTCAAACTTGGATCATATTTTACTTCAAAAAGCTTACATACTGTTTCATTCGGCAACCTGATATCAACACCACTCTTTCTTACTACAATAAAAACCTCGTTATCTCCCAAATAAATCTTCCTTTAAACACTCTGAGTAAAGTTTTTAAATATCTCTTTCTTGGGGCAAGCGTGAAAAGAGGCACCTGAATCCACTATTCAAGATTCAGTACTGACTATAAATAACGTCAGGGAGTCATTTTGGATTTCATAAGTGGAGATATTAGTAGAGTAACTACTTTCCTGTTCGACTTTCCTTTGAGCTTTGCAATCCATCTTGAAATGTCTCTTATTACCGCAGTTTCGACATTCTCCTCTGCTTAACTGGGGCTTTACTTTCATGGACTTGGATCTACCTCTGTCTGATATTCTGCCCAGATATCTTCCTCTGTTATGAGCATCCAATGCAAAGCCTGAAGATTCACCATTCTCTCTTTTTCTACGAACTTCTTCATTCAGCATCAGACCTACGATATCATCAAAGTTCAAATTCGAAGTCCCTAAAGAATTACTCATCGTCGTTAACAAACCATCTCAGTTGTCTTGCAGTGAAGATAGTATCACCAGTGCTCTGACTTATCATCAAACTTAAACCCTGCAAAACACAACTGGCTCGTCACAATGTTGAAGTTATTGAGATAATATGTCGATGTATTATCATTCAGCATCTTCATGTTGAATAATTTATTCATCAGCAAAATATCATTGAAAGAAAAATGTTTTACATAAATCTTAATCGGAGCCGTCATGAGATCCACCGTAGTTCTCTCATTCACAATGTTGAACGCAACATATGATAAAAATGCACCGGATCAGAACCAATGTTATTCGATCCAACTCTTCTCATTACTCCATAGACATATACTAAGGCTTCCTTGTGATTCCTTGCAATGACAAATATAATTTTTCCTGATACAACAAATCATCCACTTGTATCTTCCAGAAAGCAAAGTTCGTTCCATTGAACTTTGGATGAACTTATCCACATTGAACATTGCTTCTTAGGCAATTGCTCTCACTAAAATCACACCCCGCCCTGATGTCTGTTTAATGGGAATCCAAAGAGCAATTCCCAACTTTATCAGGGTTTATGATCAATTAGAAATTAAACCACACCACAAAATAACAAGATTGCACAAGATCTGAGAAAACCGGAACAAAAATTATAAACAAAAGCACAATCAAAGAAATCTAAAAAACACATGAGAATTTTAAGTGGAAAAACCAGAGAACGAGAAGAAACCACGAAGCCACACCACCAGAAATTTCACTATGAAATTCATGAAGTTTTTGCAAACATCTCACACCAGTTTCCTCTCTACAAATAAGAAAACTTACATGACACTCTCCACAACCTTCCTTCTCCAATCTGATGCAAGAATCATGTCGAATTACAGAAATCCACATCTTCGACCCTTCTCACCTTTACTAAGATGCTTGTCGAAGAACTTCAGGAGGAAAACCCACTTCAACCACTTACACCGCTCGAAATTGGCTTAAGAACCAATTAATTCGTGTGCAAACTGCTTCGGTCGCATGGGCGCCCGAACTTGGCGCCTTTGCGCCAAAGTATCTGTCGCACGTCGCCTAAGTTGAGCGCTTAGGCGCCCAAAGGTTGGCGCTTATGCGCAAACATCTCTGGAGTCAAACAGCCCCCACATATAAGTGGGCGCATATTTGCCCATAGCATGCGTCGGCTCCTCTGTGAAGCTGCGCCCAGAAGCGGACGCATATTCGCCCACAACCGGCGCATAGCATCGGGTGCTCTGTCTGTGCTTCAGCTCCACATACAACCCAACATAACTAACACTGGGGAGACAGTAGGATCCGGTTTGCCTAATTTTAGTGACCGGTTAGCTTCAATTGTTGCCTCGTTCACACAAAATTCCTAAATAGGTTCTTGAATTACCGTAGCTACTCTTGACGTCTCCCCGCGATTGTTTTCTACCTCCTTATGAATTTCTAATATGGATTCTAAAAAAATAGCAGTCATAGTTTCTCCCAAATAAATGATTGACAGATATCCAAAGTCACAAATGGATCTTGAATTTCCACACTTATTGGCAAGTTTTCTGTTGTGCAATGGAAATACCCACACTTTCACTACCATGTCATTAATAGGGTTTACTTGATCCATCATTCTAATATAATCATTTCTTATATTTAAATTACAGTTTTATCAAATATTTATATAATTATTCCAATTTTTAGTAAACTCAACTACACCATCAAGGATTTCTTTCCCAGCATGTTTATAACAAGCACGTTGTAGAGAATGAAGAACAGGGAACCATGATACACAGGAAGAGAGAGGAAGAGAAGAGGAGCGGAAAAGCGCAAGAAGAGAGAAAGGATCCAATATTTCATTCAGTAAGCATCAATAATTCCCTTTATGGAACTCAGAGTCAATTTTATAGAGTGTAGAATCCTAATACATAATAAAACTAATTTAATCCAATGAATTAAGGTATAATGTGTCCTCAATGCCTATTTAACACAAGAAATAAAATTGAAATATTTATTAAAGCAAAGTGGAAGCATACTTTAAACCCGAAAACTATAACATACTCGATCATCGCGTTCCTACATTTCAAACAAAGGCCTTCTGACTCCAATGAAAACCTTCATAATTCAAGTTTTTCCTTAACTCTTTATCTAGGTGTATCCACAAGAAGGATGTCATCAGCGAAAACATACACCAAGGTACATCCTCCTATAAATGTTCGGTAAGAGCATCCATAACTATTAGTAGAATAATCCATAAACTAAGGTGCATCATTTATCTATGTATAATCTCCAAATGCAAGCTATAGGTCAACCTCAACCCAATATGATAAATCAATAGCCCTAAAAATGGCAAAAATAATCTCAACGAGCACAAACGATGCATCGGTGAAAGACTCAACAACTTATATACGACAATGTTCTCCAAACAAGTTGTAATCGCATAATCATCATAGATTATGGCACATTGTACTTGACATCTTCAATGGTTTTGTTCATTTTTTGGAGGAATTTAGATTAGTTATTGATTAAAAAGCATTCTAAACCTGTGCTTCATGGTAAGATGCATTATTTTATGACATCAGCCCTTGCATTGTGATGTACCGGTACCCATGATTTCCTTCAATATGCATGCTAAAATTGGTGTGCATAAGGACAGCTGGGAATAAGGCTAGTGATGTCAATCCTAACAAGGGGAGTTGAAGGAGATGAACATTCGTCATAGTCAATGCATCGATTGTAGGGTTGCGGTTGATAGGACCATTATGCAGATCATTCATCATAATACTTAAATAAGGAGACCAAGCATCATTATACGTAGCATCAGCTTTATTATTATGTGATGATATAAAAGGGTTTTTACATACATAGTACTTAAAACATATGATTTTACATATGCCACAGACTCAAAACTACACTCTTCTTTACGGAATAGGCACCTAAAACCCTGAATAGGCATAGAAAACACACTTCCCGTCTCCCTCTATCAATGTAACCTTCTACTCTTCGCACGGGAAGTCTGGCGAAGCTGTCAGTGCTATGTCGGACTTTCGAAATAGCTGGGAAGTATAAGATGGAAAATCAGAGAGAGATGATGTGATGTGGTTGGTCGGCGGAGGAAAAAATAATGGGCTCGCTGCAAGATATAATCGGCGTGAGCTGCAGCAACTGCTGCAGAATATCATCAGCGTGAGCTGCAGTGACTGCAAGGAGAAGCCTGGGTTTGGCATTATCGAACTAAGGAATTTGAGACGGCGAGAGCAACGACATTCAAGAACGAGAAAATTGAGAAATGGTTGTATTTTTGGGAATCTGCTGCGGAGGAGCTCGTAGATAGTAGGAATTAACCGTGTTTTGTTGTATGAGGAAAGGGGAGCTCTCGGGTTTGGTCGTGGGAGGGAGATCGGGTCGTGAGAGGGAGTTGTATGGCTTTAGGAGAATAACAGAGAAACTGTGGTTTTTAATGAGTACTCGAGATAGAAAATGAAGAGAGCGTAGGAGAGTGTGGGATCTAGTGTTGTGTGAAAGTGTAAAACCCTTTCTCTCCGACTTCCCCACTTGCTGCTTCGTGAGCTTCAACTTCTCTTCACTTTCCCTTCTAGCGAGCTTCGGCGAGATCGTTTAATAAATTAATATTGTTAATGAGACTCTTCAAGATGTAAATGTTGAAGTTTGGGTGTGAAGTATGTAATATTATCAGTTTTAAGTGCTATGTATGTAAATCCCACTAAAAAAATCAATCAACATAATAAGCATTTCTAGTATATTGATTATAATTCGTAATATGTATCGTGATATTGGAAATGATGTGAAGATTATATAAATAGATCATTTAAACTTCCATACAAGCTTATATAGTTATGTAGGCTAATAGACCTCATTGGGCCTTTTGGTGATATTGTTGGTCTGCTAGATCACCAAAGAGATGATATTACAAGTGTTGAGAACACTGTGATGTCATAAAGATGTGAAGAAAGGAATTGTAACATGAAGGATAATGATAATACGGACTTTAAGGATTATCATCCCAATCTAAATAATAATTATTGACAAGAAGTTAAAATGCAAAAGTTAGATATGCATTATCACTATTATGGTAATGATTAGTAAAGAGAAAAACTTCTTACCGGACATTAGAAATTATTCAAAATCATACATCTAGAGCGTATGAATGTTTGGGATGTGAAAAGATTCAGAAGGAGGTTTGCTGTGGACTAAACTTAATGGGGAAAAAGATTACATAGGTCTAAGCTGCAGGGCTTGCAAAGTGATGCACGTATCAAGTACAAAAGGTCACATATAGTCTAAGTAAGCACGACTATGGTGGAGGCACAAGGGGTTACTAATGATCAGGAAAAGAGTCTTCAGACAAATTTATTCAGTGAAATATATCCCCCACCAATATTTGATCCATCAAAAACGAATGGGTGCACGACAGCAACTGAATCCACACAACCAAAAAAATCATGACGCCACTATAATGGATCACTCACTTCAAGCATAAATTACTTCTGAAGAAAAATCATATAATTACTAAAAATTAACTCTCAGGACTGAGACAAATTCGTATTAAAAGTAAACCAAATTACTGGCTTCACACATCATTTCAGAGCTTTATTTGCAAATATTTGCATTTTCAAGTAATGCAAAGCTTCAAATCATAATTGCAACCCTGAAAAAGGGAATTGGAAGAAACTTCATGGTAGCCCTATAAAGAAACCAAAAATAAATAAAATAAATAAATCCACCTCTGCTTCTTCTCAGCATTAGAGCCTGCAAAGTGAACTCCTTGCTCTCCCAAATTACACAAGCAGACAGAAAGGAGAAGAAACAGGAGGTGCGCCTACAAAAATACAACCGAGAGAAACGTGTCCCAGCGAAAATTGGGAACTATTGGAATGTTCTCCAGTCAAGGACATATTCCAACTCAAGGAAAATAACAAAAGAAACCACTTTAACAATAATTTTCACATGGTGCTCCAGAAGTCCAATATCTAAATGTGGGCATCCGAATCGAGTTAGAGGAACCACCTACAAAAATTCCACCAGCTTCTTTCCCATGCAGAGCATAAGATATCACATCATTACTAGAACAAAGGCATAAAGCCAAAACAAAATATTTTCACTAAATACAAGACCAAGTTTTCAGAAAACCATGGTAAAAGGAAAGATGTCGCTGCACTTAAAACTCGTCAAGGAGATTAATCCATTTCCCACCAAGTGAGGTAAATGAAGCAGAGCAAGTGGCGAATCAATATCAAATAACTTTACTGATCTGAGCTTGAGCGAAGGGGGTTTCTCAAGGGTTTCAGAAAATTCGAAGTATCCAGCAGAAAACCAGATTAATCAGTTGAAATCTATTCGAAGAAGTCAGATCTAATACCTTCATGTTCGTGAGGAGGACGGGTGACTCGAGCAGCGCACCGGGGCTGAATCCAGGCGGAATCGTAAGGCAGGGCGATCGCGTTATAGGAAGCCGAGCAGGCGACATCATCTTGTACCTCGCGCCGGCGGGCGCCCCCGACACATCTCCAGCGGGAACGAGCTGGCAGCCGCATCTCCGTCGCCGGAGATCGGTATCTCCGACATTCTTAGATGGGCGGAGCCGGGAGGGCAAGAGAGAGCGAGAGGTGAAAGAAGCAATGGAAATGAGTGGAGCGAACGGGGGGAAAGAGAGAGACGGAAAGGAAGATAGAAGGGGTCGTTCAGTGGCATTTTTGGTATTTAAATTTCTATTATAGTGTGGTTGGAGCAACTTGTCAGGGACTCGGGCGTGACTACAGATGACGAATATGGTATCTTTTTTTAGAATAATATCAAAAGACGGTAGTACCCCGGCTAGACTTTGTTAAATTACGACGGACCCACCACTCAGGCAGGCACCACAGATCTCAGCTGTGAAATGACGCTTTAACCCTTGCACTGTTCCTCGTGATTCAAGCTTTAAAATAAATAAATAAATAAATAATTGGAATTCTGATTTTTTAAATCATATTCTGTAATAAATAATTTAATGGCTTCCTACTTTCTTAATTTTTGAAAATTTTATTTGCAAGCAATCTTGACTTGTTTGAGAGTCAATTTGGGATCATTATTTATTTGCTCTGTGTTTTAGATTGTTATCATAATTTAGTTTGAAGAATAATTTACTTGTATCTACTCGCAGTTGTGCAGCTAACAAGCCCAAAACTTGTTCGTGTTTTGCATTTGTTCAATTTTTTTCGTTCATGTTTAAATTTGCTCGTGAATAGTTTAATTGTGTTCTGCTCGATTAAAGTTTGGGTTGTGACCCAAATTAGAACTTAATAAATTGAACTTTCGACGGCTACAAAGTTATTGTGTTTGAAAAAAAGGATTTCTCAATATTTAGGCAACTCTAATGTTGTATGCAAATCTCTCCTACAAATGTGGGACTAAATAGTAGAAGTAAAACTACATCGTGACTTTATTTTTTTCGGTCATTTATGAACATGCCAGCCAATTCCAGCTTTTTAACATGTCTCAGACCTAAACAAACAAATGACGAAGGATAGGGCAATGAGTAGCACATTTGATTTTCTTTTCTTTGTTGTTCTGCCATTAAATACATACCTGCCAATTCCTTTGTATTTAAGTATCTAGCACTTAAACTTTACTTGTTAACATTCATACCATCCAAATCTCTCAAGATCATTTTTTTTTTAATATGGAATAAATAAAATAAAATAGAGAGAAAATAAAATTATTATTATTTAATTATTTAATTATTTCGTGCTAAAATAAGTTAAACATGAACCAACAAAATTTTGTTTGTTTTCGGCAGTTTATAAATCCAGGTCTAAATAAATTGCTCGTATTAGACTCGCTTGCTTGACAGACTATTTGAGCATGAGTTACTCGTCGGGTCGAACACGAGTTGTTCGCAAATGACAAATTTTTTAGATAGCCCACTTCTCAACTATACAATAATCTTTTTAAGAAGTTTAAGCTACCCAAAGACCCAAACAAATCATAAGTCTATCAACCAAGAGGTTTTGAATTTATATATATATGTCACCATTCGGAAAATTGATTTCTCGTTATTTTTTTATCGAAAACTGTTTTTTTTTTCAGCCTGACCTATTAAAATATGATAGTTATAAGAAAACTAGACTTTATTTTTTTACACTTTTACCATATAAATCTTCCATATATCACATCAAAATATCAATATCTTAATTTTAAGTAGTTGAAATGCACGTTTCTATGTCTGGTGTAAGGTGGTACATATGTAAAAATTGAAGTTTAGGTGTTAAATATGTAAATGCATAGGAATTGGGGAGTGTGTGTGTAAATCTTCCTAAATTAAATATGTAAGCTTATTTGAAACAACTGTATAACTACAATTAGTAGATGTATTTTTTTTTTCTAATTTATAATTATTGGTTCTCAGTTTGTCTTTTGTGAACGCACATCGAGTGTTAAAAGTCGAGTGGATGTGATATCAAAGGGAACCGGGGGAGTCTTAATGGCCTGCCTCACTTTGGTTTTCACTTTTTCTCTTACTTATAAGAATGCTTTTTATACAAATACAAAAAGATAGGAATAGTTATTGAATTTGTTCTTGATATAACTAATGCTCTAATAAATTATATTGATGTCATTTCATACATGTATTGTAATTTCAATTTGATATGACAGTAATTGGTTTGTCGATTCGCTAGAATGCGACCGAGTGAAGCGATCGACTGGGTGGTGACTGTGGCATGTGTTTGGTTGACTGAGGAGTTCAGTCGAACAACAATCTCGTTCATTGTGGCAAGAGCTGGTCTGTCATCCAGTAGCGATCAGGGTATTTTTGTCTGTGTTTTTGTCGTTTGGTTGGTTGACGACTCATTTATCGCTTCGGCTAAAATCTTACGGGGCCTATGTATTGTCTACCTAGATAATTCATCTCCTCAACCAAATACTTATATTTGCAATGTCTTAGGTAGATCTTATCGCTGCTTATGTGAGGTATCCAATGAGACTATGCAGTTATAATGAATTACATCTCTCCCTTCACAGATCTTATCGCCATCAAGCGGGAGACCGTCACCAAAGCTTTGACCTGTCTCAGGTTTAAAAACATGGCTTCATCTGCTTTACGGTTATTTGTCGTTCATTTTATTTGAGATTTGTGTCATTAGTTCTAGTATATACTTATTAGTTTCCCAAAATTTTATGTTTCTTAATGGTAACCGTTGCAATAAGGACGGGGAAATTAGTATATTAATCATGTCGCATAAATTAAGAAAATTCAATAATCAGTTCTTCATTTATTTTTGTGCTCAACATGTCTTGTAAATATGGTCAAGGGTTGAGTTGTTCATATTTTATCAATGTTTTTCAGATTGCTGAGTAGGCATCATCTCGGAGGCACAAGCAACAGGACGCTCAACCCATACATAATGGTCTTGGCGGGGTATCTACCTACTCCGACATATGCCCCAAAAAAGATAAATGTGATCAGGAAAGAAAAGAAGTGAGTTATTTCCTTGGTTTGGTCAACTCATATAGGGTTATTTTAAGGGTTTTCCCATTGCTCGTTCTTATTGTTCCTTGAAAAATTTGGGTGGTTTTGCTCGGTTGGGTTGTAGGTGTTTGAATAGAGATTATGTATGACTCTCCTTTCCTATGACATTAACGGTTTATAAGAAAGAGATACTTGAATCTACCACTGGTCCATGAATCAATCCATCATTAGGTGAAAGTCCCTGTATTGAAATCATCCTCAAGTTATCTAATTTATAGAAATTGCAGCTACCTGACTCACCACAATAACTAATACATCAAACTCATGTACACTGTAATTCTCTCAACAAGCCATTAAAAATTATTTTTGGTCATTTCCTTTGTCAGTTGGCATGCTTCATCAAAATGTTTAGACATCAACAATCCTCTTGCATCAGCATTTATTATGGATCTCAGGGAACCCACTAATTCGTTAGAAAAAAATTGAATGACTAACCAATCAGGAAGGGCGTGGTGTGGGCACCTCCTAAGTAATTTATTGAATCTCTCGCGTGCCTCATAAATATACTCTCTATCAATTTAAGCGAATGAAATAATATCATTTCTAAGCTTTGTAGTTTTTTATGGTGGAAAGTATTCGGCCAGGAACTTATGGGCTAAGTTATTACAGGTCGTGATTAATTATGTGGCAAGTGAGTTAAGTCATGCATTAGCTTTATCCCTTAAGAAAAAAAAAATTTCCTGTCTGACGACAATAACACTAAGGACGCCATCGTATCAGAAGGTGACATAAAGTTCAAGAAAATTGACAAAGTGAAGCTTGGGGTCTTCAGAAGATAGTTCTCCGAAAAAAAAAATTGCAACCGGTCATGAAAATTTGTATATTAAATAAAAAAATATTTCATATGTACCTAAATCTCTTTAATAATAATCATTAAAAACTGGCCGATGCACTCGTAAATATGAAAAAATAGAAAAAAACAATGAATTAAAAGCCGCCTGCGTTTATTGTTTTTGCTTCTAATGCCAGTGCATTGCATGCAATCTGGAGAACGTGAGGAGCAGAGAAGACGATTACGTGACAACCACCACGTGCATGCATGCATGCATGCATGCAGGTATCTCCTCGTTTGCATATGCAGACCATTAAAAGGAGACCTACTCTGATTTGGAAATCTAGCCGTTGGATCTTCCAGCTGTCAACCTATGTAATCACTGGTACAAGCAGGCATCTAATATATGAGAATTGTGGGGGCCTTCGCACTGATTACAAAAAAATAGAGCATTTGTACAAACTGTACCGTAATTATAAATAACTTTCTCATTATTTTTAGGGGTTTTTTACATGCATAACGCCCAAAACATTGGTATTTACATGTCACACCCAAATTTTTATATTTATATATAAAGATTGATCGGGATTGAGCTGAGAATGGGAGGACCAAGACTTCGACTTGAAAGTGGTAGCGGCACCATTGCTGCAGAAGCTTGTCGGCGGTGGGCGCTATTCCGATCATGATGACCTAATTAATGAGATTCGAACCGGAGAAGAAGAGAGTGCTTGGGCTTTATATGTAAATATTAAATTTTTGGTGTGACATATGTAAATCATAATATATTAGGTGTTATGTATGTAAAAACTCTTATAAGTGAAGGCATATGTATCCAATTAAACTGTTCGTGCACATATATCAATACAAATAAGTGATGATGCCCGACATATGATTAAGCTAATATGAGTTTTTGAACAACAAATAAAAATATAAGCAATAATAATGTGAAATAAACAAGCTAATTATTGTCACAAATGGTGATTTGAGTAAGCAATTGTTAAGATAGAGCACTTTATTTATACATAAAAAAAATGATTGCAATAACTACTATTGTTTGTAGTTATTTAATTATGTCAATAGTGACATGCATGCATACATATGAAGTAAATGTTCCATGAGAAATCTTGAAAAAAAATACTTTATACACTAATGTGCACGCAATCTATATTTGTGCAACTTGATATATTAAGATTTACATAATTGATGTGCGTGATCGACAAAAAATCCCCAACTTATGCTGGAATTGCATGGTACGTGCTTGCAACTATAAAGCTCACTCAAGTTCTCGTGGGGGCAGATAAATCCTCAAAATCCTTTTTTGTTCTGAAGGGTAAGCATACCATCATCTTTATTATGAGCAAAATCATCACTCAATGTCCACTCATAG